TAGTTACCTGTTAAAGTCCGATATGCCTGTCTTAGTACAGTTTTATTGGCGACCAGACCAAATTTCTGCACAAACTCTTTTTTCATTGCACGAGAGTGATACTTTGGAAGGTCCTCCACTATAGCTTTCGCAATGTTATGAGCCATATTAATCATGTCCTCAACTGGTGAACAATCTTCAATTTTCCACAAGAAGTGTGAATGAATTGCTCCACCTGAATGAGTGAAAAGCAATGTCCTAAATGGCAAATTTAAACTTGTGATGTACTCATATCTTCTCCTTCGATCGGTTGGTGCATACTCATCAAGAAATATTGGCTCGCAAACATCTTTACTATCCAAGACTTCATAAACAGAGCTGTATATGTCATCTGGCCAATTGGTAGACTTTTCAATGATTTTGAAATTCTCTTTGTCTTGATTCATCATCAGAGAGTGGTGGTTTTGTTTCATCTGAAATATAAAAAAAAAGTATTTGTCAAGTTTTCTGGAAATCAACAAAGTAGGCCTATCTTAAATTTATCACCCTCACAACAATATTAAATTTTAAAAGTCCGATGAAAAACCACAAAAAAAAACTCTAGATACAAAAACATTACGTTTTTAACTTTTACAGTAGCTTTAACAAAAATTAACATTTTTTGCAAATACATTGAAATTCTTTGAAAATTCTTTGTATACACTCACCCTTTTTGATTGAGATTCCAGATATGCACTATACTTCATCAACGAATTTGATAAGGCAACAACAGCATCATTTACATCCTTCCAAATCTCTTTCTGGAAATAGGCAGCCTGAAGCAGGTTGAATAAGGCTTTTCCATGGGAACGTAGTTCCTCCTCACTCAAAAACTCGGCAGTGATTTTGCGTTTCTTTAACTTTTCTGGAATACGAAATCCAGCAAACTGCATAAAAACATCTGGGACAGGGTATCCTCTGCTTTTTAAGGTTGCCTGATTCCTGTCAATATACCATAGGGCACCTCCAAGTGTGTTAATAAAAGGCCAACCACAATCCACAACAGCATCTTTAGACCAACCAAGTCCT